TTCACTTTTCAAATAGCAAACTCCCTTTTCAAATAGCAGAACTCCCTTTTCAAATAGCAGAACTCCCTTTTCAAATAGCAAAACTCCCTTTTCAAATAGCAAAACTCCCTTTTCAAATAGCAGAACTCCCTTTTCAAATAGCAGAACTCCCTTTTCAAATAGCAGAACTCCCTTTTCAAATAGCAAAACTCCCTTTTCAAATAGCAAAACTCCCTTTTCAAATAGCAGAACTCCCTTTTCAAATAGCAGAACTCCCTTTTCAAATAGCAGAACTCCCTTTTCAAATAGCAGAACTCCCTTTTCAAATAGCAAAACTCCCTTTTCAAATAGCAAAACTCCTTTTCAAATAGCAAAACTCCCTTTTCAAATAGCAAAACTTTTTGCGTCTTGTTAACATTTCAGTGTTGCAGTCGAGTTCTGCTTCCCCCAGACGACAGAAGATCAAATCTAGAAGCGCTACGTCGGCCCGCGCTCAGCAACCTGGCACGCAAAGTAATATTGAAGAAGGTGAATACAAAATGTCGCAAGATGTCACAATGCCCGTATTGTGAGGGGCTCAATGGTGAGGCACTGCATGCTTGAGAATATATCCTTCTGGAAAGTATGTCACTTTGACCATAGACCCTCGCGTCTTCGTGTATGTAACATTAGTTAGGGCCGAACATCTCAACCAGGTGACATACTTTCTGGGATGGTGGATTAAAATTATTTTTTCACACCGATAACGTTTCAGGGCTCAAAATAACGGGAGATAGGTCTCCGGTTAACTTGATTTTAGCTCGGTCAAAATCTGTTTTTGACCGGTCATTGATACGCTTACACTAACAGTGAAACGAACTGTTATAGAAACTTGTTTTGATACATTATAGTTTCATGTTTTAATTCAAGACGTCGGCAATCACATTGGAAGGCATGAAAATGTGGCCGGTCAAAATGACCGGTGAGATATTAAAAAAGTGGCCGGTTAAGAGGCATTTTTGGCCGGCCATTGCCCGTTGACCGGCCGTTATTTTGAGCGCCGACGTTTATACTATCGTTTTGAGATCGGTGGTGAAAAGCAGTTGTAATTCTGGTCAATTCTTTACTTCAGGTAACGTGAAGAAGACGGGAATGATGAAAATAGTCCACGAGAAATATAAATCGACAAAGAAGATATTACATCCGGCCATCTCTGAGTTTCGCGCCTCGTTCCAAAATGCGCTTGAGCATAACAAAGAGCTTGAACTACTCCTCGCCAAAGCACAGGTGAACGTCTTACTGTACCGGGTGTCCCAAAAAAAACTGGACACCGTTTCATTTCATGTACCGTAAAAGCTATCGCAATGAAATAAAGATCATTGCATTCAGAAAGGACTAACTTAGATTTTGATATTTTACACTTGAATTTACATGCAACCATATCCATATAGTTATAATGTACGAGGTTCAAATTCGTCTCTCTTTCTGCCATGACCAAATACCGAGTATGGCAGAAAATGTTTCCGATATAATGGGGTTAAAATCTGGAATAGCATTCCTGAACAAGTAAGAAACAGCGAATGTTTAAATTCTTTCAATAGGAATATTTCCTCTGTTAGTCTAACGAATTAGCTATTTGACTATTGTACCATTTGTTTTGTAATATGTATTTTGTATTCGTAGTTCTTAATATTATTAGCGATTTTGTATTTTATATAATTTTGTAACATAAATGATCTACGCCCCACCTGGAAAGCAGCTTCGGTTGAAGTGGCCAGCGTAGTGAAATAAAGTTTTATCCTATCCTATCCTATCCTTGAGCGAGACACAACCAAAATAGAATATTTATTATTTAACAAGTATAACTACATTGGTAATTTTTAGGTTGTCTTATGCTAATTTTTCGCATTTTCAAAAACAGTAGTTCAATGTTCAAACATCAATAACGCAGTCAATATTGCATGTAAATTCAAGTGTTATATATCAAAATCTAAGTTAGTCCTTTCTGAATACAATGATCTTTATTTCATTGCGATAGCTTTTAAACTGTTACGATAAATGAAATCAAACAGCGTCCATATACACAGTTTATTCAGTATGTTCATGATATTTTTTTACTGAATTCAATTGTTTTCTGGTTTTAGGAAATTTTAAATCCATTGAGAATTTTAACACTTTTCAGAGATATTCTTGACGAGGTTCGAATATACTGTATATATTTATTTTTAACAGACGAAACTTTGTATATTTAATATAGATGAAACTTTCCCAATAATTTTGCGTATTTTATGTCAATTCTAACTTTCCTCCCAGGATTGTCCACTGTTTGGTATGCTACCCCGTGTGTCTCGTCCTGAGGATCTTATTCTCTCGAGAATTGTCGTTCCACCAGTCTGCATCAGGCCTTCTGTTGTCAGTGATCTTAAAGCTGGCAGGTTAGTTTGATTGTACACATGTAATAACGCACAAGTTGTAACAAACCTGTAGCGGACTTAATGTAGCAATGCTGTTCCAACAACTTGTCAACAGGATGTGTTCGCGCTTGTTTGTTCCCAGCTTGCTACAAGGTTGTTGAGCTCAACTCAACAGACTTGTTAAAAGTTGTCTCAACAACTTGTTATCGTCCTAGCTGCAATTCAACAATTTGTCAAAAAGTTGTGAGTGACAACCTTGTAGCAACTTGATAAAATAACAGCATTGTTACAACTTGTTGACAAGCTTGCTACAAGCCTGTTGTGAACACATCTTGTTGACAAGTTGTGAGTGACAACCTTGTAGCAACTTGATAAAATAACAGCATTGTTACAACTTGTTGACAAGCTTGCTACAAGCCTGTTGCGAACACATCTTGTTGACAAGTTGTGAGTGACAACCTTGTAGCAACTTGATGAAATAACAGTATTGTTACGACTTGTTGACAAGCTTGCTACAAGCCTGTTGTGAACACATCTTGTCAGGACAAGTTGTGAGATTTTTACTTGTGTGGTGAGTACCATAGATTGTTTTTTTCTCCTGCAGTAATGAGGATGATGTGACCATGAAATTAACTGAGATTATTTTTCTTAACGACGTCATACGAAAGCATCGTTCTGGTGGTGCTAAAATACAAATGATCATTGTGAGTTTCAATAATGTATTTAATAAAAATACAGTTGAAGTTACGACCAATAATTGCATTATTAAAACTACAGTGGCCAAGCTAACCATAGCAGCTGGTCATGCTGTGCAGATTTTTAAATATTTGTCTTATTCAAACATATAGAAATCTATTGTCTTTGGTGCAAGTTTATTAGCATAACATGACCAGTTATCATGGCTAGCTTGGCCACTGTGGAACTACAAGGAAACCTTGTGATGATTTGTGTTGAATATGATATTTGTGTTTTATTATACAATTAGGAAGATTGGGACTTTCTACAACTGCAATGTGCTCTTTATATCAACAGCGAAACCACTGGTATCCCTTTAAGTATGCAGGTATCCCCATATATAGTTAGTATTTTTAATATTAATATTGTATTTATGTAAACCAAAACACATGGTCGCACTGAGCATTATTCTTCCTGGAAGTCAACAAGAATCAACTGTGATTCGTCCAGTATTCTCAATGGACTGCGCTGTTTGATGGAGTCAACTGACTCATCCTCACACACATGACTGCGAGGCTGAACAATAATCAGGCAACTGCGTAGTATAGGAATAGGAGTGAACCCTGATCACAGAGGCGAAAGAAACATCTACTTCTCATTTTTCAGCCCAAGAAAGCCACAAGAGGCTTCGTACAAAGATTGAAAGGAAAACAAGGTCGTTTCCGTGGCAATCTGTCTGGGAAACGTGTAGATTTCTCTGGACGAACTGTCATCTCACCTGATCCTAATCTGCGTATTGACCAGGTAGATCATTTCACATTTAACTTACTACAGTATTAGGATGGTGTTGCTGTTGGTGGTAGTGATAATCAGATGGTGGTAGTGATGATGATGCTGCTGACGCCATTTTCACGTCGATTTTGACGCCATTTTCACGTCGTCTTTGATGTCCGCGTCCTCGATCTAAATCTGTCTTATGATGATTGTGGAGGAGATTGTTATTTATTTATTTATTTGTTTTACATTCAAGGTTGCTGTTCCCATACATGTTGCAAAGATTTTGACATACCCAGAAAAGGTGAAAGCATTGATTGAAATGCATTGATTTCATCGTGAACAGAATGACCCAATTTTTTTTTTCATTTGAATCAGGTGACAAGAGCCAACATACATTTCATGAGGAAACTGGTTGAGAACGGCGCCACCCAACATCCGGGAGCGAATTTTATTGTACAGCAAAACACGAAGATTAAGAAGTACGAAGATGTGCTTGGGCAAAAAAAAATATGTGGGTTTCCGGTTTCCCGACCCTACCTAGCTTTTGGACGTCGAAATTCCGACCCTAAACTTTTTTATTGGATCATGCTTGTAAGTGTTTCCACTTAGAGGAAAAAGCTTGTGGAAAATTGAAATTTGAGGCAATATTAGGGAAATTTATCTTTGGATGTGGAAGCACTGACTAAACAAAATGGCGTCCGTTTGTTAGGAAAATTAAAAAAAAAAGTTAAAACCGACCTACCCTACCTAAGTTTTTATAAGAAGAAACCGGAAACCCACATATTTTTTTTGGCCTTGTTAGAGTTTCGCAAAGTTTTCGCATTTGTACAATGTTGTTTTATCATATTTATAAAACCGTTTTTCCTCTTCAACCATATCGTAACATGTGTCGTAGCTTTTTCTTTTGTGTCGAAGTAATTAGGTCAGTTTCAAGGCCCACACAGACCGGACGCGATTTGGCAACGCGACGCGAATTTTCAATTTTCAATGACATTTAACTTTAATGTTTTTCTATGTTTTTCAAATATTCGGAACCACTTAAGCTATTCTAGCTATTTGGTCTGCATATCTTGTAATTTTTTTATCCGTTGACGGTTTTATTTGTTTTTAAAAAATGAAAATTCGCGTCGCGTTGTCGAATCGCGTTCCGTCTGTATGGGCTTTAACTGTACAGAAAAAATAGGCTACGAAAAACTACTTTTATCCTCTAATTGTTTAGGTTTCTTAAGTATGGAAACAGACAGTTGATTGCCAAAGATTTAAGGGTAATGATTAAATGTGAAATGTGGTAAAAAAGTATGGGTTATAAAGTCGGTCGGTATCAGTTTGGCAGAGACTGCAGTGTGAAAGGATATACAACTACCCGAAAAATATATGCACTTTGTTGGGAAGCACTGCGATCATTGCCAATGATGAATTAGTTTCTGTTGTTTTATTTTACAGATTGGTGATACAGTGGAGCGACATATGATTGATGGTGATGTTGTCTTGTTTAACAGGCAACCGTCACTGCATAAACTGAGTATTATGTGTCACTTTGTAAGTATTGTACGCCGCTCTTCCTTGAAATCGAGTGAGGATCATTCTTTATATTGATCTGATATTATTACAGGAGGAAACCTAAACTAAACTATCGTTATTTATACTGGATTGTTCTTGTTTCACAGGCTGTTGTGAAACCGCACAGGACATTTCGTTTCAATGAATGTGTGTGTACACCTTATAACGCCGATTTCGATGGAGATGAGATGAACCTACATTTACCTCAGACTGAGGAGGCCAAGGCCGAGGCTCTCACTTTGATGGGTGTAAGTATTCCTGTTTATAGCAGGTGGATTATGCTGAGGGTAAAACAGAGGTTTTGAGTTAAGGTTACAGGATACCCTTTTTGGCGTTTTGTGGAAAATCGCTACTGCGCGCTCAAAATCAGTCCGATTTTCATCAAATTTTCACCAAATGTTAGCAAGTGCATGCAAAATATGATAAAGTTGTAAAATGTACAAACAAAATAATGTAAGAATTATTCAGAAAAATCTTAAGTCGCGGTACCTTTACGCTTTTGAGTTATGTTCCTGCTGGTTTTAAGATATATTTATGAAAATATCATTTTTATACAGTAAAATAGTTGTTCTAAAAAATTGTGTTCGGAAATTTTTGTTTATTTCGTCATTCCGCTGATATGGCGATTTCTTTGACGACTGCGATATATTTCTGAATCGTTTGTGTGAATTGCTCCTTATTATTAAAATATCCAAAAGTAGAACAAAGCCGAACACAATTTTGAAACTGACGTCTTTAGCTATGTCCTGTGAAAATTTGAGAAAAATTTGTTAAAACCCGCAGGAGCACAACTCGTTTAAAAATCAGTAATTGCCGTAAAATTCTTCGGGAGAAAATTGAATTACATTTTCAATGTTTTTCTTATTGCAAGCGAAATGTATTTTATTAAATAACTCTGCGAGTTTTCAACATTTTTCGTCCAAACTTGGTCAGATAGTAGAACTAGTCTAATGCTTTCATGGAAACCAATAAAAAAATTTTAGGCAAAATTAACACTCAAAGGTGTTCTGTAACCTTAATATTTGTTGTAGGTGAAGTCAAATCTTGTCACACCTCGCAATGGAGAACCTCTGATTGCTGCCATCCAAGACTTTATTACTGGTGAGTAAACCACCCCCAACTCCCTCACGGACTATTTTCAGTTCCAGTTTTGAAAACTTAAAAGTTGGCGTTTTATTTTTAGGTGCGTACCTTCTGACTCAGAAGGATGTGTTCTTGGACAGAGGTCACATGACACAGTTGTGTGCCGCCATGTTGGCGGGCAAAGACGGAGATATGAAGATAAATCTTCCTCCGCCCGCCATTTTTAGGGTTAGTCAGTTAATAAGGTTATCTTGAATGCATAGCTCTTGTAGCTCTAACAGTTCTAAATTTGTAATAGAAGCCGCCACATCCTAAGACTATCAAAAGAAAGCCAAAATTCTACATACACCAGTTCTTCAACTGGACAATTCTACCAACAAAATCCCTCATTCTTCTCTTTCTTTAGCCTGTGAAACTGTGGACTGGCAAACAGGTGTTCAGCGTGTTGTTGAAGTCTCACCGGGAAGCCGCTTCCGTGAAGATGAACTTACGAGTGAAAGGAAAACAGTACAGTAGCGGCGAGGACATGTGCAAGAATGATTCATGTGAGATTCAAACCAAACTAACCTTATTTATACTGGGTAGCTCCATCAGTTCTAAACTGTTCTCCCTAGAGGTGCAGTAAGGATCATCTCTTATTGATCCAGTGTTACTACATGAGGAAACCTAAACTAAACTAACTTTATTTATACTGGATAGCTCTATCAGTTCTAAACTGTTCTCCACAGAGGTCCAGTAAGGATATCTTTTATTGACCCAGTGTTACTGCAGGAGGAAACCTAAACTAAACAAACTTTATTTATACTGGATAGTTCTATCAGTTCTAAACTGTTCTCCCTAGAGGTCCAGTAAGGATCATCTCTCATTGATCCAGTGTTACTACAGGAGGAAACCTAAACTAACTTTATTCAATTTCAATTCCAGTTGTAGTAATTCACAACAGTGAACTGATGTGTGGCGCGCTGGACAAAGCAGTTTTGGGATCTGGATCCAAAAACAACGTGTTTTACGTTCTGTACCGTGACTTTGGAGAACAGGTGTGACGTCATTAAAACAAGAAGCAACTTTTTGAAATTTTTCTTTCATAATTTTTCTTAAGCGAATTTCATATTCATGTTTGTTTTTTTTTACATTAGTTTGCCGCTGATGCTATGTGGAAAGTTGCTCGAATTTGCCCTTTCTTTTTGTGTAAGCTTTACTTTTCTTTCTATAGCGTGAGGGTTTGTACCATTTGAATGACAAATATTGTCCCTTATTTAGCGAACCGAGGATTTTCAATCGGTATTGGAGATGTGACACCCGGACTTGGCTTATTGAAAGCCAAGGACGAGCTATTAAATTGTGGTTATAAGAAATGCGACGAATTTATTCAGGATTTCAAAGAAAGCAGATTGCAGACTCAGCCAGGTTGCTCTGAAGAGGAGACGTTAGAGGTCAGTTAGCACGCTGCTGTTTATCTCTGGCTTAAAGGACATTGGCAATAAAAAAAATAAGTCTGTCTCATTCAAAAGAACTCTTAAAATTATATATTAAACTTCATTACCGATTTGTCGTACCTTGCTTAGTTCTCGAAATGTTTAGACCGAAATTAATGAGCTTTCCGCCATCTTGGACTAATTCTTGACCTCGTTAACTATGGTTTTGATGACGTCAGGAGTTGGGTTAACCATATAAACTACTCTGAAATGACCGAGTAACAATCCAAAATTGTATGAAATGTTTTTAATCATTTCTAAATTTCAGACAGCAACCAGAGACGAAGTTTTGGACCCATATTGATCGCTTACTCTCAAGATAAAAAAATTAGCGTGACCCCTCTCTTGACGTAACATGCATATCCTCAATAATCCAAGATGGCGAACAGCTCACTTTTTTCAGTCGAAATATTTTGAAAACTAAGCAAGATATAAACAATATGTAATATGAGTTTTTGTAATGAGAGTTCTTTCATATGAACTAAACTAATTTTTTATTGCCAATGTCCTTTAAGCCCACTATTGTAGGTCGACAAGTTCACGACGTGTGTTTTGACGTTAAAATTGTTTAGGCTGTCATTCTTGGTGAACTTTCTGTGATTCGAGACCACGCGGGCAAGGCCTGTCTTCGCGAGCTACACAAATCTAACAGTCCGTTAACAATGGCTGTCTGTGGATCTAAAGGTACAATAAGGGTTAAGGAAGGTGAAGAGGTGATCCTTACTGGACCTCTAGGAAGAACAGTTTAGAACTGATAGAGCTATCCAGTATAAATAAAGTTAGTTTAGTTTAGGTTTCCTCCTGTAGTAACACTGGATCAATAAGAGATGATCCGTACTGGACCTCTAGGAAGAACAGTTTGGAACCGATAGAGTTATCCAATATAAATAAAGTCAGTTTAGTTCAGGTTTCCTCATGTAGTAACACTGGATCAATAAGAGATGACTCTCACTGGACCTCTAGGAAGAACACTTTCCAACCGATAGAGCTATCCAGTGTAAATAAAGTTAGTTTAGATAAGTTGTCTTCAACATCATTGTTACATATTGTCCTCTAGGATCATTTATCAATATTTCTCAAATGATCGCGTGTGTGGGTCAGCAAGCTCTCTCGGGGAAACGTACTCCAGATGGATTTGAAAGTCGATCCTTGCCTCATTTTCGGAAGTTCGGTATGTTAGAGCTGTGTTTTGATTTTTTGTGTTAGAAAACTGTGCTAGCGTATATCTGACTTGTTTTTGTGGCTTTTTAGCCAAGTTTCCAGGTGCCAAAGGATTTGTGAAGAATAGTTTTTACTCTGGGTTGACGCCAACAGAGTTTTTCTTTCACACCATGGCTGGACGAGAAGGTTAGCTTGCTGTCTCTCACTGCTGCTGAGCGAAACATGATTAAGACACTATTCTACTTTATTTGCTAACCTAACTGTCATTGTATCATTCTAGGTTTGGTTGATACAGCGGTAAAAACGGCCGAAACTGGATACATGCAAAGACGTCTTGTCAAGGTAAAGTGACAAGAAGCAATTTCCATAGACAGAAAAAAAAAACACAATGGAAATTATTACACAATATTTGCATGAAGGGTACATATTTGGATCTATTTTTCTTTAGTCATTGGAGGACTTATCAATCCAGTATGATATGACAGTAAGAAATTCAGTCGGTGATATAGTTCAGTTTGTGTATGGCGGAGATAGCCTGGACCCGGCTTCCATGGAGGGAAAGGATAGACCTGTTGATTTTGATCGCATTTTGGCACATGTTCAGGTAAATAAGGATCAATAAGAGATGATCGTTACTGGACCTCTACGAAGAACAGTTTAAAACTGATAGAGCTATCCTGTATAAATAAAGTTAGTTTAGTTTAGGTTTTCTCCTGTAGTAACACTGGATCAATAGGAGATGATCCTTACTGGACCTCTAGGAAGAACAGTTTAAAACAGATAGAGCTATCCAGTATAAATAAAGTTAGTTTACTCGCAACTGATCTCTATGAATGTATGTCCACAGTCATTCGTGCCTGATCATGAATCGTGTGTTTTGTCGGCTGTGGAAATCAAAGACCAGACGAACTCTATACTCAATCAAGAGAAGTTTCAAGCTTGCAGCGAGGAGTACAAGAAAGGACTAAGGTTATTGTTTGGAGTATATGCATGTTTACAAAAATATATATAGCTATGAATGGTTTCACTAAGCACTATCGCGCCCTGGTCAAACGAGAACAAGAGTTGCATGAGAGTTGAGAAGCGAGAGTTTACATGAGAGTTTTCTCAACTCTCATGCCCCGGTCAAACGAGAACGAGAGTTGCATGAGAGCTGAGAAGCGAGAGTTTACATTAGAGTTTTCTCAACTCTCATGCCCTGGTCAAACGAGAACAAGAGTTGCATGAGAGTTGAGAAGCGAGAGTTTGCATCAGAGTTTTCTCAACTCTCATGCCCCGGTCAAACGAGAACAAGAGTTGCATGAGAGTTGAGAAGCGAGAGTTTGCATCAGAGTTTTCTCAACTCTCATGCCCTGGTCAAACGAGAACAAGAGTTGCATGAGAGTTGAGAAGCGAGAGTTTGCATCAGAGTTTTCTCAACTCTCATGCCCTGGTCAAACGAGAACAAGAGTTGCATGAGAGTTGAGAAGCGAGAGTTTGCATCAGAGTTTTCTCAACTCTCATGCCCTGGTCAAAACGAGAACAAGAGTTGCATGAGAGTTGAGAAGCGAGAGTTTGCATCAGAGTTTTCTCAACTCTCATGCCCTGGTCAAAACGAGAACAAGAGTTGCATGAGAGTTGAGAAGCGAGAGTTTGCATCAGAGTTTTCTCAACTCTCATGCCCTGGTCAAACGAGAACAAGAGTTGTTAAGAAGCGAGAGTTTGCATGAGAGTTTTCTCAACTCTCATGCCTCGGAGAATTCACTGGACAGTACCAGTCGCACAAACAAAACCTCTCATCAAAATTTGACTACATGATTTTTTTCTGACAGGAAATTTACGAACAAGCTGAGTGACAAAGTCGCGAATTTACACTCCCGATATGGATTAAGTTTTGTCAAAGAGAAGTAAGTGATTAAAGGCAAACTTTTAAATGCGACTAACCCCAAATATAATTTTTGGTATATGTGTAATATCTGGGTCATTCTGACAAGAAATGTAATGTATCTTTATAGTAGAAAACCTCATCTTGACTCAACTTTTTCACTGTCAAAGGGAACAAAACAAAGGAAAACGAATTTGCAAATCGTGAAAAAGTTGATGAAGATGAGGGTATTTTTACTATAAAGATACATTACATTTCTTCTTCGAATGACCCAAATATTACACGTACCAAAAATTATATTTGTGGTTTGTCACACTTTAAAGTGCCTATGACACGAAATTTCACCCCAAAGGTTTATGGTTGCATTGTAAAGATCACTTAAAATGACTTAATAATTTCTTTTATAGAATTTTGGTAACTTGCTCCCTTTTCAAGATATTCAACATTGTTTCATATGCAAATATCACCGGTGTGACATCACATCGCATAATGAGGTTTCAGAAAAGTATAGTTTTCTTCACGAATACGTATCTAAAAAACTTAAAAATTGCTCTTGTGTATGTATTAATGTCATAACTGGTAATTAACCCTTTGTATTTGTTTGTAAAAATATTTTATCAAGGTAAAATATTGCGTTTTCAAAATGTCATTATGCGATGTGATGTCACACCGGTGATATTTGCATATGAAACAAAGTTGAATATCTTGCAAAGGAAGCAAGTTACCAAAATTCTATAGAAGAAATTATTAAGTCATTTTAAGTGATCTTTACAATGCAACCATAAACATTTGGGGTGAAATTTCGTGTCATAGGCACTTTAAGTATATTGTCTCTGATCTGACTCAGGTAAACCAAATTGAATAAGCTAAAGCAACTTTAGTTGTAATGAATAGCTCTGTAACTCTACATATTTATTTTTATATCGTATCTTTTCCCTGTGTAGAATGAATACTGAAATGAAAGCAATGAGACTAGGATTTGGTATGTATATACTTACCGTGTATCCTCGCCCTACGGCTTCCGCAGATAACACAACCTCGTTCTTGACTTCATAATAGCGACGCTTTAACTAGTAAAGTCTACGGACGTCAGATTGCCGGGGGGGGGGGAGAGACTGGATTAAAAACTGCATATGACAAAACATGGTGGCATATTGCACTTGTCATATCTTCGAAACGAGTTCGGTGACCCAATATTTTTTTCTGTTTTTACCATGAGCATATCATAAACTTTGCCCCTAGGAAGTTTCAGCAAATTCTCATTTCCAGAACAATTAGTGATGAATCACGATTTTGACCCTCACTAATCTTTAGGAATCTTGCACACAAAAGCTAAAAGGAATGGTTGTAAGCACAACATAAAACAATAACAAATACAAAAACATGTACAGAAGTCTGGATGGTTGAGATTGGGCTAGGATTGAGATGGATTGTAAATGACATCTTGATTAATTGTTGGCAGACACTTTTTCAAGTTTAGGTCAATTTGTATGAAAACGTCGTCTTACATGCTGTGTGGAAGTTCAAAGTTGTTGAATATGACTCGTATATCATAACTGAACCTATTTACAATGTTTATTTTCAAATTCACAGTTCAGACTTTGAATAAAATACATTTTTGGTCGAATATTGGTGACACTGCCCCTTTAAGCTCGCTAATAGTACAAATACGCCATCAGACCAACTATCATGGGTGCGTCATGAAATTTTGTTTTTTCCCGTAGCTGTAGAGTGGGTATCGCGCTGTACTTCACTACAACTGCGAAGGTTTTTTGACATTTGTCATGAGAAGTTTATGAAAGCGAAGATTGAGCCAGGTACAGCTGTTGGGGCCGTGTGCGCGCAGAGCATCGGAGAGCCTGGTACCCAGATGACATTGAAAACTTTTCATTTCGCTGGGGTTGCATCTATGAATATCCTTTTGTACTAATGTTTCATTGTTCGTATGGTGTTTTGTCGTAAAAGCTAACAAGTTGTAACAAACCTGCAGCAGACTTGTAGCGATGCTGTTCCAGCAACTTGTCAACAGGATGTGTTCGCACTGCTTGTTCCCAGCTTGTTAACAAGTTGTCAACGGCTTGTTGACAACTTGCTACAAGGTTGTTGAGCTCAACAGACTTGTTACAAGTTGTTCCAACAACTTGTTATCGTCCTGCAATTCAACAATTTGTCAACAAGTTGTGAGTGACAACCTTGTAGCAACTTGATAAAATAACAGCATTGTTACAACTTGTTGACAAGCTTGCTACAAGCCTGTTGGGAACACATCTTGTTGATAAGTTGTGAAATTTTTACGTGTGTAGTTGATTAGTCAGCTGTTGATGAATATTTCCTTGACGTCTTCTCACACATCACTCTGGGTGTACCGCGAATCAAGGAGATCATCAACGCGTCCCGTTCCATCAGCACGCCGATCATATCAGCTGGTCTCGTTAACGAATCAGATCCTGACATAGCGCGTGTTATCAAGGGGAGACTGGAGAAAACTACTCTGGGAGAGGTGAGAGTCAGGGAGGGGGGCGAAGGATGTAAGCTTGGGTGGTCGGATGTGCAGTATTCGGAGAATTTGACCGTACATTTGAATATTGAACAACATGATTTTTTCTGTGTTGGTGTAATGTACTTAGGTGAATATGATGCTTGTGATGTTACTCTGAGTGTATATCCACACCGGGCAAGCTTGAAAAATATGCCTGTCTACGGTGGGAATCGAACCTACGACCTTTGGAATACAGAGCATTGGGCTAGTATTCCAAAGGTCGTAGGTTCGAATCCCACCGTGGACAGGCATATTTTTCAAGCTTGCCCGGTGTGGATATACACTCAGAGTAACATCACAAGCATCATTAAACAACATTTCAAAATCTCAAATGATAGATAAGGAAGTATGGTATGGTGATTCCTTAAAGGGAAATGTCATTATAAATTTTTATTTTCTCTTTTTATTAACTTCTTTTACCGATTTTTCATATCTTGCTTAGTTCTTGAAATATTTTCACATGAAGTAATGAGATGTCCGCCATCTTGGATAAATGTTTGATCTCATTAACGGTAGTTTTGGTGACGTCACAACAGGGATTAATCATATAAAAGTATTTGTTGCTGACCAAATATTGATTGGTAGATGTTTTAAAGGTTTTGAGTGATCTTGATATTTCGAAGGGCGTGCAGAGTATAGTTTTGAGTGCAAAATGATTAGTGGTTGTCTAGATAAAAATATTGCGTGATCCCTGTTGTGACGTGACATGCATATCTACAAAAATTGAAGATGGAGGACATTTCATTCCTTTTAATCAAAATATTTGTAGAAGTAAGCAAGATATGAAAACATGGTGAAAGAGTATTATATATAGTCGTAAAAGTTCTTTCAAATGAGAAAATAAAAAATATATTGCCATTTCCCTTTAAGATTCTTGGTCAAATATTTCTCTAGATCCCACATTTTTTGTTTCATTTCATTTTCTAGGTGACAGAATATGTCGAGGAAGTATTTGCTCCGGAGAATTGTTTTCTGTTTATCAAGTTGGATTTGAATCGCATAAGACTTTTGAAGGTAATGGGATGCTTTTGCCAAATTTTATGTAAAAACCGCACAACTTGTCAACAAGATGAGTTCGCAACAGGCTTGTAGCAAGCTTATCAAGTTGCTACAAGGTTGTCACTCACAACTTGTTGACAAATTGTTGAATTGCAGGACGATAACAAGTTGTTGGAACAACTTGTAACAAGTCTGTTGAGCTCAACAACCTTGTAGCAAGTTGTCAACAAGCCGTCGACAACTTGTCAGCAAGTTGGGAACAAGCAGTGCGAACACATCCTGTTGACAAGTTGTTGGAACAGCATTGCTAAAAGTCTGCTGCAGGTTTGTTACAACTTGTGCATTTTTACCTGTGTAGACTATAGACATTTTGCAAGGTTATTTAAACATACATTGAATATTTTTCGTTCATAGTTGGAAGTGAACACAGAAACGATTATATTTTCAATTTGTACTGCACCAAAACTTAAAGTGAAACGCCAGGTATGCCAGCACGATCCAAACTGTACAAGATAATTCAATGATACCACAAATAGTCTTATGATGTTCATTCGTTTGTTTTCAATCTTTGTTACAGCACATTCATTCTCTAAGTCGCTCGACTATCTGTATTTACCCTCAAGAAAACAACAAAAGTTCCTTACATTTCGTCATGCAGACCCTGAAGAAATCTTTGCCAAACGTTGTGATTAAGGTGCGCAATTTAAATAAACCAATTAAATTACTTTATAAAAACTGGGTAGATCTATCGGTTTTAAACTGGTCTTTGAGCTTCAGTAAAGCTTATCTCTCGTTGAGTGAGTCGAGTGTTACTACATGAGGAATCCTAAAGTAAACTAACTTTATCTATACTAGATAGCTTTATCAGTTCTAAACTGTTTTTCCTAGAGGTCCAGTAAGGATCATCTCTTATTGATCCAGTGTTACTGCAGGAGGAAACCTAAACTAAACTAACTTTATTTATACTGGATAGCTCTATCAGTTCTAAACTGTTCTTCCCAGAGGTCCAGTAAGGAACATCTCTTATTGATCCAGTGTTACTACAGGAGGAAACCTAAACAAACTAACTTTATACTAGATAGCTCTATCAGTTCTAAACTGTTCTTCCCAGAGGTCCAGTAAGGATCATCTCTTATTGATCCAGTGTTACTACAGGAGGAAACCTAAACTAAACTAACTTAACTGTTGTAACACTGTTGTTTTTTCGCCCCAGGGAATGAAGGGCGTGGCACGTGCCATTATTCACGTGGATGAAGAAAAATCTCAGGCTGGTCAGGAAAAATATAAACTGTTGGTTGAAGGAAATGACTTACGTGGTGTCATAGCAACCGTAGGTAAGTCGTGTGAGGCATGGGTCGAGTTAAGAAACCGCAGCAGTGGTTTGTCCTTGGAGTGCTAGATAGAGATTGAACAGACTTCGAAACAAAAGCCCAAGGAGAGGTTACCGCCTTACCGGACCGCACACATATAAAACGCACAAATTTTTAAAACCCTGCAGCAGACTTGTAGCAATGCTATTCCAACAACTTGTTATCAGGATGTGTTCGCACTGCTTGTTCCCAGCTTGTTGACAACTTGCTACAAAGTTGTTGAGCTCATCAGATTTGTTACAAGTTGTTCCAACAACTTATTATCTTCCTGCAATTTAACAATTTTTCAACACGTTGTGAGTGGCAAGCAGGGCCGTACGGCGGGCAGTAAGGCCTATCTGCCGAGAAAAGTCCCGAATATCCAAAGAATAATTAACAATGACTTCTAAAAATCGTAAATATAGTTTTCGATTTTGTAATGCCAGAACTTCCTTTCCAAATTGCAGAACTCCGTTTTCAAATGCCATAACTCCCTTTCAAATAGCAGAACTCTGTTTTCAAATGCCAGAACTCGGTTTTCAAAAGTCAGAACTCCGTTTTCAAATGCCAAACTCCCTTTTCAAATAGCAGAGCTCCCTTTTCAAAGAGCAAAACTCCCTTTTCAAATAGCAAAACTCCCTTTTCAAATGGCAAAATTCCCTTTTCAAATAGCAGAACTCCCTTTTCAAATAGCAGAACTCCCTTTTCAAATAGCAGAACTTCCTTTTCAAATAGCAGAACTCCCTTTTCAAATAGCTGAACTCCCTTTTCAAATAGCAAAACTCCCTTTTCAAATTGCAAAACTCCCTTTTCAAATTGCAGAACTCCCTTTTCAAATAGCAGAACTCCCTTTTCAAATAGCAGGACTCCCTTTTCAAATTGCAGGACTCCCTTTTCAAATAGCAGAACTCCCTTTTCAAATAGCAGAACTCCCTTTTCAAATGGCAGAACTCCCTTTTCAAATAGCAGGACTCCCTTTTCAAATTACAGGACTCCCTTTTCAAATAGCAGAACTCCCTTTTCAAATAGCAGAACTCCCTTTTCAAATAGCAGAACTCCCTTTTCAAATAGCAGAACTCCCTTTTCAAATTGCAAAACTCCCTTTTCAAATAGCAGAACTCCCTTTTCAAATAGCAGAACTCCCTTTTCAAATAGCAGAACTCCCTTTTCAAATAGCAGGACTCCCGTTTCAAATAGCAGAACTCCCTTTTCAAATAGCAGAACTCCCTTTTCAAATAGCAGAACTTGGTTATTGACTTGACAATTTTATTTTGATTATTAATTAAAATGAAGATTAGTTTGTTCTTTTACCGAAAGTGACTGGTCAAGGTAATAATTTGTCTTGACAACTCCATATTCTAGCTGGACATTGTCCATTGATGGGCCGTTATTTCTTACAAATTATAAAACTTACAGAAATCATTTTGTTTGAACCAACAGCAAAAGGAAAAACTGAAAATTGTTGACGATATTCAGACTGTTGTTGTTCACAAAGTAATGAATACAGCTGTTCTGCGCTGTCTGAATTGGATGTAAAACGACATTCCTTTCTTGTCTCTTGTTTACCATCCACAACAACACCCTGTAAGAGAAGAAACAATTTCAGAAATTTTTAAAAATGAAAACAGAGATATATCGATAATAAATTCCATCAGCAACTTCACGGCGTCATGACAGATCAAATGGAAATCAAATTTAACTGAGGCCAAGCTAGTGTACTTGTTTTCTAAACACCAGAAAGCAACCGAGTTTTTGAAGTTTTACTTGCATTTTTAGATTGTTGAATCTCTCCTGGTGTTATAAATTGTTCCATATTTCCTAAACACCCTTGATCAACTCAATATTTCTGACAGAACAAACCTTAGCCAATATTTCAGACAGAACAAACCGCGTAGCTCAGTTGGCAGAGCATTGGGCTAGTATTCCAAAGGTCGTAGGTTTGATTCCCACCGTGGCCAGGCATATTTTTCAAGCCTGCCCGGTGTGGATATACACTCAAAGTAACATCACAAACATCATATTCAATACACAAAACCAACACAGAAAAAAAAGAACAAACCTTGTCGATGATTCCAAGATGAGCAAATATACGATGTGAAGGTTGTGGCTTCTCATCACTCGCACTTTCTGATGCGGTAGAAACATGCAACTCAATTGCGACAAAATGACTTGAACCATTCTTGTCAGTTTTCTAAAACAGATTATCAAAATATAAGATAAAACTATTTTCCTACGACAATATGTTACAATGTGAGACACTTTTACACAGGATAAAATTTGCAGTTACCTTGTACCAAGTATATTTAATGATTTCATAATCCTCAGTTGGAAAGAAAGGAACAGTATCGCTCTCTTGATTGTATAAATAAACTCTAAATTTAAAATATTTTACATCTGATTAATATTTTGGATAAATATCACGACTTTGGACATGTCATTCGATACAACTAATTGTTGAAGATTTTTATACAACTATAACCCCTATCACAGAGCCTGAAATAACGGCCGGCAGTTTTCCGACCAGATTCCGATTTTTCCAACCAAATGCTGAAATGATCGGAAATTTTGTCCGGCCAAATTTTGAGAAAAAGAAAAATGTTTTCTTAATGATCGGGTCGGCGCTCAGCACAGTGAGTACCATGCATCTGTAAGTTTGGATTATCTATATTAGGCTAATATAAAGTAATCAACTGGAAAGTATAGTTCACGGGCAGCCTAGTCCCTGGCCTTCCAAGCGCGGGCGAGTTACAGGCTGTTGTGAACTTGCGGGCTGTCAGTTTCCCCAGTCTCCAAATAATACAACTTTATCACGGTCAACCTGCAAACCTTATCGATTTCCCCCCAAAATAATGAGGCGGAAGCGAGAAGGCCAGGAACTAGGCTGGTTCACGGGCTCAATAAACAAGAAGGTGGCTTATAGCGTGGTGTTGTCGTGAAAATGTGAGGTGAGTCTTAATAATTTGCAATTTAAATCACCCGTCAATCAATTTAAAACACGTCCCGTAGGCTCACAACCATTTTGAATTTTCGCTACAGTTACAATTACCTTACACAATTGCAAGTAGAGTGATTTACTCAGTGCACGTCTGCATGCTTGACAGAGTTTGCTCATTGGGGGGGGGGGGAGTGGACTTGGTCAAACTAAACTAAAAGAAATTCCGGTCAATTTTGCAAATTTCCGGTCAAATTTCGTTTTGATCGAAGTTTTTCCGGACAAATTTTAAAATTATTTCCGGCTCTGTATCGCAGGAATCAAACCTATGACGGTCTTCCAAAGAAACACAGGTTCAAATAGTATTAGATTTGCCTGTACTCCATGATCAGATAGGAGTACGCCATAAGGTGGCTGCCACAGGCTCCCTTAGAAAACCTTCGACTCAATCAGGTTGAGTTGTGTCATTCGTAATTCAGCTTAGGTCTCCTCCACTTACTCACAAGCATACATTACTGGGATTGAAAATAAATTTAATCTCTGCAGCATGTTCGAGAGCAGATGGGCTTTGCCATATCTCCATACTAAAACAATCACAATGTCAATGAAATATGCATCAATTACCTTGTAGATTTCAGATTTGCAAGTGACAAGGGTTTTAGTAATTTCGCCTTAGCACCACTTGGTTTCTGGACATTCACTAAAAACAATTATCAGTAAAACAACTTATTAGATTCAAATTATATATGATTCCCCATCTCAAACTCATTATAATACATTACTTGTTACCTTTTATAATGCCCGATGAGAACTGTTTTGCAGCGGATTTTCCAACCAACAGATATTCATCGCTGTCGAGTAATTTCTGTTGCTGCGCACAGTCATCAATGAATGACAATGATACAATAGGAATGCCAAGTTTCACTGCTATTCTTCCTTTATATGTTTCAGTAATGTCTTTGTTTTCTGACACAAAGAACTTGGTCTAAATAAATAGGTACGGTATGGTATTAAAGAGAGATGTCTGTATTAGAGAGGTGTCTGTGTTAGAGAGGTGTCTGTGTTAGAGAGGTGTCTGTATTAGAGAGGTGTCTATATTAGAGATGTGTCTGTATTAGAGAGGTGTCTGTATTAGAGAGATGTCTGTATTAGAGAGGTGTCTATGTTAGAGAGGTGTCTGTATTAGAGAGATGTCTGTATTAGAGAGGTGTCTGTATTAGAGAGGTGTCTGTATTAGAGAGATGTCTGTATTAGAGAGGTGTCTGTATTAGAGAGGTGTCTGTGTTAGAGAGGTGTCTGTATTAGAGAG